AAACATTTACATTAATTTGGCAAAATATGAAAATAATAACAGACAAGTTTCACAAATAATGAGCTTCAATCACGCGGCGGTGATTGAGGACTTTGCTTCAGATATTTCTAAAATATCTGTACTGATTTTAAGAGAAAGCAGAGTTTAAGATGAAATGGAGATTTATCTTACAGAGAGATATGTGAGGGAATTAATCTGTTATGACCAGAACGTGCACGCTCCATCAGATCTCAGCTTGCTTCCGGTACACTTTAGTCGAAGAAGAAACCGTTACCTGGTTGACGATGACTCAATGTCGGTATAGAATCCTTCAGACTTTTTCAGCGTCTCCGTTGAGAGCAGCTGAAATCCTTCGAGAGTCGTGCGTGGTGTTCAAACAGAAATTATAATTCCAAAACGTCTCTGGATCATCCTGAACGCGTCTGCATCCAAGAGCTCTAACTCCATCACTCTGTGCGCTCTCTAGTTGAACTCATTTCTGAGTGCAGCAACACAGCAACCAACAAACTCCAGCAACTCAGCGTCTCAGCTTCTTGCAACTCCTTCAACTCCTGGAATTCTAACATGAACTGGGAAGTTGCCACATTTTAAATGAGTTGACTTCCGGGTTCACTTTAGAGCTTTCTGATTCGTGGATGGACCAGAAAGAGGTGTGTTTTTGTGACGTAAGATGTTATCTAAGCCAAGGTCAGAGAATGAGATTGTTCAACAACTGACAGAGAGATTATTGCAGAAAAGCAGACTTCGTGGAGTCTCACTCTGTTGTATCTTCTCAAATAGTTAAACATGACATTTTTCTCGGTAAACATTTTAGTTGACCGAAAACCGACCTTTAACATACTTACAGACTTGGCTCATTTCAGACAGAAAATCAAGAAATGCATATTAACCTGATTTCTTCTTTAAATGAGGAATAAAAATCATTACTTACTGTTTATGTAAAATAAAAATGAGTAGTTCTCTTCAACCTGTAACATTGAGTGAACCAACACAATTTGATTATCAAACATTTGTAAAACAGTGATGATTATAAAAAGAGAGTGTTCTTTTCACTTGAATCTTCAAGAAAGAAAGTCACCAGATGGCTCAAACTGTATTCAGATCAATGAAATAACAGTCTCTGTCCATCTGTTAGATTTGAGGTCATCAGGGTCAGATCAGGGTCAGATCAGGTTCACTACAATATTTTTATTGAACAATAATCTTCATTCTAACAGTGACGTTGTAATTTCAGAGACTGAGGAAGAAACAGAAATGAGGCGAGTGAGATGAGGGAAAGATGAAAATGTGTCCTCAGAGGACGGGGATATGTCAGGATCTGATGATCCAGGATCAACAGGACCAGGATGAATCAACAGGCAGTCAGGGAACAGAGATGAAAAACCTGAGGGAACAATTAGAACACAAAAAATACATAAGCAGGACAGAAGAAACTCACAGACAAGAAAATTAACTCAGTCCTGCGAAGAAAAATGTTAATGGAAAATAAATTCTGACATATTTTTACAAAAGATCAGATGAAGACAACTGGCATGAAGAATAACTTCCAGCTCCATCTCAATGTACCTGTGATAGTTTAATAAGTGTTTTGTTACTGTCCTACAGTTTATTGATGCTGATATATTCTTGTAATAATTCTTATTTCTTGTTCTGTCTTGAAAGAGTCTCATCTCAACTTGACCCATGATTACCAAACACTAAACTAATAATATAAAACTAATGTAAATCAACAGTCCTGCAGTAAATACCAACTTTGTGAAGGTTATGGTGTTAAAGTAATTTTATTCAAACATCTTGATTCATCTGTTATTGATTAATAGAAGACAGAAAATGAGATCTTGTACCTTTGTGATACTTTGAATGCAACATTCAGTTCATGAAGTCATTCTCCTGTGGTTTACCTGGAAAACATGAAAAAAATTGACTCATCTCCACAATCACGTTTTTCTTTAATGATAATGTCACAATTTATGCTGCAGTCTTTGACAAATGATCTATAACTTTAACTAAATTACGTCAATCTTGTTGTCATGTTGTCATCATTCTTTGTTAAATCAGGTCTCTCTTGTAAATGAGTCCTCGAGGCTCAATGTAGAAACCTGTAGAAATAAAGGTTGAATGAATCTCTCAGCAAAAAAAGACCAAATATTTTCTAGTTGAGTTCAGTAACTGGAATTAGCATAAATTTAAAAAAGACCACCTTTCAAAATTTAAGCAGTAATAGATATTTTAAAACGTTGAATTAGAAATAGACCCGTTTAAACCGTCATGTTGCAGAGCAGCTGCAGTTAAAACACAACTAGTAATTTAACATGTTTCATTAACTAAAACTGGCGACATGAAGTATTAATGTTGATAAACTGTGGTACAGAACAGTCAGATAACGCTTCACAATGGCCAAAAAAAGTGTCGTATTTGCATTAACTTACCGGAGAAAACACGGAGAATGAACTACGTTCAATGCTGAACCCACTGCTGTTTGGAACTATTTGCCGCTTCATGACCCACGTGACTTCTGCATTCCATTCTTTCTATGGGAGTCTATGGGAGTGTCGCAACTCTCTCTTTACAGGGCTCTGGCTACAGTCAGAGGGGCTTGTGAAAAATCACCAGAACAAAATGGTTAAACGGTGTCAGTGGAGAACAGGTAATCCAGACACGTGTTACCCTGAGCGTTTAGAGGGTGGGATACAGTTTATTCTTTTTCAAAAATTAAATGGAGTTTGGAAAACAAGTAAAAAGCCGGGGACCGACCCCATCAGCTGATCACAAGTCATAAACAGGAAGTAGCTACCACGTGTTCAACTCTATGAAAGTAATTGCAGGTAAATCTTTCATTTTATGTCATAATTACATTGTATGCTTAATGGTTAAATGAAAGGTTCATGCTTAATTCAAGTTATGTTCATTTGTCATATGCAGGTTAATGCTAATGAATCACTGCAGGAGCTACATGATATCATCAGCTCGCTGCAGTGCAAACACCCCGAGGCTCTTTACGTGGTAGCCGGAGACTTTAACCAATTGAATCTAAAGGACTGTCTCCCAAGCTTTTATCAACATGTGACAATTCCGACACGTGAAGACAAGACACTGGACCATGTTTACACGAACGTAAAAGATGCATACAAAGCCGAACCCCGCCCCCACCTAGAACTGTCAGACCACATCTCAATCTTCCTGGCTCCTGCTTACATGCCCCCGCTGAGATGCTCCAGACCGGTACAAAAGAAAGTTAAATGCTGGATCCAGGACAGTGGCCCCATACTGAGAGATTGTTTTGACCGAACAGATTGGCAGGTTTTCAGAGAAGCTGCTGAAAATGGAGGTTCGCTTGATCTTGACCAATACACATCCTCAGTTCTGGGTTACATTAGTACATGTACTGACACCGTCTCCACTATCAGATATGTTAAAAGCTACCCAAACAGAAAACCTTGGCTGAATGCAGAGGTGCGTACCCTGCTGGAAGCCAGGAACACTGCCTTCAGGTCTGGAAACTCAGAGGAGCTGAGTAGGACAAGAAAAGAGCTGGTTGCTGGTATTAAGAGGGCCAAGGCCACATATGCAAAGAGGATCGAGGGTCAATTCATCGCACAAGACCCTCGGAGCATGTGGAGGGGCATTAAGTGCATAACAGATTATAAAGGAAGGAGCGAACAATGCCCCAAAGACCCATCTCTGCCTGATGCCCTCAACAAGTTCTATGCACGCTTTGAAGACCCGAACAGACCACCCAGCACCAGACTCACCTCACCACCGGATGAAGAGCATCTCAGCGTGACCTCAGCAGAAGTAAGGAGTACCTTCAGGAGGATTAATCCGCACAAAGCAACTGGCCCAGACAACATCCC